CAGCGGAGATCATGTCAGTTTGTTAGTGTTTGAGCGTGTAATCTGTACCTTGCACAAATTACTATATAAGAATGGTTCAGGGTGTTCTGGGGTCTGGTGGGGTAATAATAGTTGTAAAGCGTATAGAGTTTGCTGTCTTATTCTTATTCTTATTCTTTTTCTTAGGCAATAGAAAAGGCATAGGGGAAATCAGACTATATCTTGTTTACTTTATTTTGTACGCATTAAAAAAATTCAAGCTGATTTATTAATAACTTACCTGTGCCCATAAAACTTTGCATGACACTTATGCAGACCAGCAAGTAAACAAAACATTTTTTAAAAATAATCTAGATCCAATTTAAAAAAAAGGTTTTCTGTTTGAAAAATATTTTTTAAAAAATAATCTAGATCGAATTTTTTAAAAGTTTTCTGTTTGAACCCCATATCAAGTCTCTTCGGGTGCACACACACAGATTCAATAAAATAACTGACTTACAGTAAAATGCCTCAACTATTTGCTTATTTTGAGAGAGCGACACCACCCGTACCCCACATTTTAGAGTTAACTTGTAGATTTCACCCCACAACTGTCAAGACGCCTCCCCGTGAGTTTCGAAAAATACTCACCCCGTCTCTTGAATCGTGTGTCTTTGGCGAATGTTTAAGTTTCGTTTTGAGGAAAATATGTCAACATTTATTTCATGTTTTAGGTGTACTCTGTAAGTTCTCTATTATTTCTTTTTGACCCACTTTAGGCTAACATCAAAGAAAACCTGTCAGAACCTTAGTTTGCAGTCACCTGATTGAAATCACTTTTAGATTTTGTTGGTCATCCAATCTTTAGACAGGTATGCAAAGATCTGAGAAGATTAAACAGAGCGTTTGATTTTTTGTAACTTGTTTTAACCGCGGTTAGACGAAAAACTAGACAATCAATAATTCAAATACTAATCGTTCGTTGTCTCCTCCCCCCCCCCCCCCCACGCGCTGCCTGCACAAAGAAATGGCAAGGGAGGTAGCCAGTATATTACGTTTCACTGGCCAAAGCTTGTGCTATTTCCCCTGAATATTCCCACTCACTCAATGTGCTTTGTGTAGTTTTTGATTTGGTCAAATTTAATATCGCTGCAGCTACCAGTCAACATAATTAATTTATTAAGAAAAAGTGAAAGTACGGGTTTAAGGCCCCTTTGAATACTATTAGGTTATTGAAAAAGCCGGACCTCCGAATTTAACGTCTATCTCCGATAAGACTGAGCAGGGGCGTTCGAAGGCTGACCTTATTGAAAGGGTAATACAAAAGAGACAAAGAACCAGGTAGAAATGAAGCCACCCAAGAAAAGAAACTTTCCCACAATAGGAATAACATCAACAAAACTTCTCATTCGAAGCAGCATCACTGAGTTATGAATGATACAAAATCGAGAATTCATATTATTATTATTATTTTTGACTGTCCAACCGTCAAAATAATCGAGAAAATATCACAATACATAATCTTATTTTCACTTGGTGCAAAACCTAATTATAACTTTTAAACTCACGGTGGGAATAATAGTCTCAATATTTTTTTACACTAAGATGTGAATACATGAACAGAAAGCAAAGAAACAAAGATGACAATACTACAAATTATGTAGTAGCAATTTGGTTTCCAATTTTGGCTGCCTTTGTCCATTAACAAGTCTCAGCATCCCCCTGACCCAAGCTCTCCGACTGGTGGCCCCCTGACCCAAGCTCTCCGACTGGTGGCCCCCTGACCCAAGCTCTCCGACTGGTGGCCCCCTGACCCAAGCTCTCCGACTGGTGGCAGAGATACGTCTCTTTCTTCCTGCGACACCCAAAAGGGTATAAGCGGCGGATAAAAGTAAAAGTAAAGTAAGTCCTGTTTTAGTAATAGTTTACGGCTCTCGTAACAGTATAGTAAGGTCATAGGAACGCGTGCCTTTGTCCAGACTAGCTTTTCATTGCCAAAAAATCATAATCATGACCTGATTTAAGAGTGGTAAAAAGTTCAGAAA